ACACATTTCTATTATAGCGGTTTGGAAAAAAAATTAAACCACTCGGCTCGGCTTGAAAAAAGACCAAACTAGTCAACTCATACCACAAAATGCTACCTGACCTGATCGGTCTACATGATTTAAAACACTAAACTATAAATTGAATGAATTGTTGAATAAAATATAAAAAGAACTTAAAATGCAAGTAAAACACAAACAATCGATCATAGTTCATAGTCCATTATATCAGACATTCATACATATACCAAACATGAAAAACATTAAGAAAGAAGTAAAAGAACTCTAAAATCCTAAATCTTATAATGGTTAAAATAAGTGGATGAAATAACAAATAAATAAAAGTAATATAAAAATAAATAATTAATAATGAATAATTAGACTCTAAGCTATTTCTAGTTTTTAACATAATACCAAAGTAAGAGATTAGGAGCCCAAGTGCATTATATATAAGTGATTCCATCGGTGCTAAATTAAAACTAGAGGTGTTTAAAAATTCGACCAACCCGATCAATCCAACCAAATCCAAGGCGAAATAACTCAACCTAAAACAATCTGATGTCTAATCGAGTTGTAAAATTTTCAAATCGTATGTATTAGATATTTTTATTGGGTTACTATTGTTTGAACCCAACCCGATGAACCCGATATCCTTTTATTTCTTTGATTTAATATGATTGTAGAATTTTTATTAATATATATATATTAGAAAATTACATTATCACGTACGCTCTTCATATACATATATTTTCAATTTATTCACATCTCTATATAACTCATCCATATATATGTTCAGTAACTTTGAACATATATATGTAAATTGAGAAAATTGATTGAATGAGATATACATAAGAACTATGGATAAGTTATATTACATGGTTGATGATGAAAAAGAGATTAAGAGTAGATAAATAACATATTCTAGGTTAGAAGAATATTTTAATGTACCAAAGTATCAACCCGACCAACCCGTACGGTTTGAGTTGGGTTGCACTTTGGGTTGGGTTGAGATTTTTTAAACTGTAAGCATTGAGTTGAGTTGTTCAAATGTCTTCAACCCGATCAACCCAACCCATAACCACCCCTAATTTAAAACGATCAAACTGGAGAACGAAAATCGAACACACAATTTTATTATTTTCAAGACTAGATTGATTCGATTTGATCATGTTTGACAAACTAGTTGATGAACCAACCACGTTTGAATTAATTGAAAATTGTAAAATGATCAAATTAGACATTTTGAAAAACTAATCAATTACAATATTTTTTAATATATTTAAAAAAATCAGTAATAATATAATAAGTTAGTTAATACAAAAGAAAAATTAAATAATATAACATGTTAATTTAAAAAATCTCCAAATTGATTAGATAATACGGATTTGTGTCACTAAAAACAAATTTTAGAAAATATAATTTATAATTTTAAATAACCATTTCACATGACATGCATGAAAATAAAATTGATCATGTTCATATATCTTGATTAATTATTAACTTTTTTTAAAGATTATGATTAACAATTTAATTAAACATTTA